ATTACTTCTACAAAAACTTTCAATTTTTTCTTAGAAATAGATAAATTCATTTATTATAAAAGAGGCAAATGAAAATTTATTTGAAAAACACAAATATTTGTTTTATTTGGGTCTCTAATAAAAAGCCTCATTTTACACCATTTTAAAGTGCATTTTTATTCAACTAATATATTTATGAATAATATAATATGTAGCCCAAAAAGTAGCCAAAGTGCCAAATGATATTTTTTATGTCAAACAAAAGAAAACGTAGCCACATTTGGTGTAATGCAGCCAAATGTTGCAATGTTAGAAGGAATACTAAATAAAGCTGGAGTTGGGACTCAAGGATTATAGACCCAAATGTGGGGAAAGGAGAGAAAGGACAAAAGATATAGAAGTAAGGAAGGCTGGAAAATTAAGGGTCAATATTTGCATAACAGAAGGTCTATTTAACCTTTCTCACTACTTTTCATCTTTTGGATTTTCTCTGCTTTCCCTGAATTTAGGACTATAATCTTTGAGTCACAACTCCAACTTTATTTACTATTCCTTCCTCATTCACACATTTCCAAGTACAGTAGAACCCCTCTAATCTGTCACCTTTGGGACGGGGGTATGGTTGGAATGCAAAAAAGGTCGGATTATCAGAAAAAAGTAAAATAAACAATCTTCTCCTTTGTCCAGTCTTTGTAGCACTGCTAATTTTTCATTTAATGAAAGAGTAACGTGTTTACGTTTCACTCCTGACATGTTGGAAACACACACAAAACTGTACATTTACACACAATGTAAAACATATACTGTAACGAACACAGAACAATGCCATGGAAGGTGAGTCACCGACAAGTCGGGACAAGTTTCTCGACTCCAACCATGGTCGGATTAACCGGAGTGACAGACTAGCCGAGGGCAGACTAGAGGAGTTCTACTGTATTTGAAAATATTTCCTTTCCACTCAAAAATAAAATATGTATAAACTTTGTGAAACTTCTTTTTTGAGTTTATGCCATTGAAATAAATAAATAAAAAATAAATCCAGTGGAGCCTCGTATAACATACGCCTCGAATAACGCATGCTGCAAACAACGGACTTTCCATTCAGCAGTTGTGTGAACAAGTGCAAATGATGTTTCCACTCTTTTGCCATTGCCAATGACAATCTGCTATTTTTATAATATATTAGTATTATTAAAATATATTATTAGTATATCTGAAGCGCAGAGCTTCCGTTGGGATTTGTCTTGCTCCCTTGTTTATTACTTACATCACCTCAGTGCAGGGTATTTATATTTATTCAAGTGTTGTGCAAATAATGGCTTCTAAAAAACAGAAAGGTGATTTCAATTGAAACAATGCAAGAAATCATCAGAAGGAGTGAAAATTGACAAAATCTTCCTTGTCAAATGGGGAGAGGTTCAGGAGTTTACCAACACTTATTATCCAAACACAGTTGAGGCCAACAGGATCAATGATCTCTACAATGACACCCTTGCCCGTCATTTCCGACAGGTGTTGAAGAAGAGAGA